GGCTGACTTATAGCAGCAAAACTATACATGAAAGAACATGCAGATATATAAGTATTAGTTAGGCCAAGCAAACTAAATTATCAGTTTCTAGCTCAAGTTTTCGAAAGAATCATATTATTCATTACCAACTTTTTAGCACAAATTTGCTAAGTTTTATGAAATTCTCCTGATTAAAGTGTGTTTAGCATCAACATGATATGAGCTTAACCAATCATGCTTGATACGGCCGTACCGAGTGATGACAAAAAACTGTTAATTTAGTTTCCACGACGTTACTATAAAGGAAGTTATTAATACTGTTTTGGAGAGGAAAAACTAACAACGTATATTTTATAAAGAATCTGGTTGGTTCCATAAAGTATAGGTCTGTGCTAAATAATAGGGTTGCAATTCTAAAGTTAATGTCACTTTGTTCTACTTCCTGTGGTTTGTTGGTGTGTGTTGACAAAAAGTCATGATATTGATACCTAATCAAAAACATCTTAGGTGTGAAAAAAGAGGTGTGGACAAAAACGGATTGAGTATGTGACTTAAAGGAATTGACGATGTTAGAAAAACACGTAGGTTCAAGAAGTCTTGATAGAAATTAATAAAAACTCTATAACCTGAGTACTTTCAAAAGATGGACCTTTCTTCTTTAGTTTGCCCCTGAAGAACAAAGGTCCACCTCTCCAAAAGCGCTCGGGTTATAGGGTTTTATTCATGACTTAAAGGAATGAAATCAAAATTGGTGGCCAAACTGGTAGCTACACTTATAGCATTGATAAGAATTTTAAAGCAAATATTCATTCATTAGTTAGCTGGGTTGCATATTTTGTGGCCTGGGTAGCTACTGAATGAATATTTGTTGTAAAATTCTCATCAATATTATAAGTTAAGCTACCACTTTGGCTGCTAATTTAGATTTCATTCCTATAAGTCACGCGATCAATCCTGTTTTGGCCACACCTTTATTTCACATTTAAGGTGCTTTTGATTATATCTTATTTAGGCTTAACCTAAGCTGTTTATTTATACCTAGACTTAGGTTTGTTGAACTTGTAAGACAAAACAGATTCAAAACTGGAACATCATATGTGTGTGAATCTATACATAGAATGAGTGTTTATCTTAAAAATAGTGATTATTTTACAGTTGTACTATGTCCAATGTAGTTTAACATAAATAAATTTTTCACTCGTGTATGCTCCACTTTTATTCAATAAAAATTGAATCAATAATGTAAAAAAAACAAAAAAAACAACACACACACAAAACTTGTACTAAATTCATAAAAATTTACCAGTATCATTATGCTGAAAGATATTTATCAAAATTAAAACGTCATATACTTGCATGTGTTTTACCCTAGTATTAAAATTCATATTAATCAGTATTTTGAGATAATTACTTGAGTAACATTGTAGAGCTGGACAATTACAGGAATTTGCAAATGACTAATTATCAGATTCATCACTCGATTACACTCAACTAAACAATTAATCCAACATGGAACTCGATGAGTTGAAATAACCTAGAATAGAAATAACTGCAAATACTAATTTCAATTAGTTCATTTTTTTTTTTAAGTTATTACACTAACTATCAACCTGAAAAACCTTGAATTAATCACAAATAGTAAGATGAAATAATGGTGATACTTCAATCACTTTGACATGTGGTAGAAATAAAAACAGTAATAACTGGAAATGCTAATTTTGATTACTTGATTATTTTACATGATACTAATCTACTGTCCACCTCTACTATCCAATAGCAGTTTTGTATGGTATAATATCGCTTTTATTCATATTCGATCAATAATAAGTTATGATCAGATATGCCCAACAGAGAAATCGAACAATCTATTAAAAGGATATCTACAAAACTAGTACACACACACACACAGATAGGAACATGACTTTAAACTACATATAAGAAATGACAAATGTTAGTCTATAAACCTGCATTTAATGTTTAGTTACAGACAAAGTATTCAAATTCTGATGGTATACACGTGTATTGACAAATCATATACTTTACAACCATATGGCTGATGGTATACACGTGTAATGACAAATCATATACTGTACAACCATATGGCTGAT